CATGGATCGAAGAAAATGCAGACTTTTACCCCTTCAAAAGTTTATATTTTTCCATCGGCTCCCCCAATCACCCCAAGCTAGCTCCGCCACCGTGCCATTGGATCCGCTTCGCAAGCGCACGCTAGCTTGTCCATGTCAGACGTTAGCTCCATTCCGATTTATCGGTTGGTTCTCTACTAGCAACGTTCGCATAACCTTCACGGGGCACCTTCTATTCCAAAATGTACATGGCTTGTTAGTATTTTTTTAAGAAAAGAATTACAGTCTACTCCCTCTGTTCCTAAATATAAGTCCTTCTAGAGATTCCAACAAGGGACCACATACGAAGCAAAGTGAGTGAATCTACACTCTAAAATATGTCCATATACATCCGCATGTTGTAGTTCATTTGAAATCTCTAAAAAGAATTATATTTAGGAACGGAGGGAGTACTTTAAAGAAATAAGTATAACCAAATTAGAGATGCCTTAACGCCCATAACCTAGTAGGTGCGAATAGCTCACCAAACTGCCTTGTCATATGGGAAAATGGCGTCAAGTCCCTTTTATCTGTCCAACTGACCTTAATTGTTTTTTTTCCTCGCAGGTTAGTTTCTTCGAAAAAGAGATTCTGTTGGACAACATCGTTGATTTTTTCTTTTCTTTTGAGGGTGACATCCTTGAAAACCAGTAGGCAAGACAAGTTCCATTTCCATACAAGTGCTAGTAAATGCGAACTACTACCAAGGACTGACACCTCTTCACCTTGCCTAGAAATACGAGTTCAAGAATATTGTTCATTTCAAATCTCCAACATCAATAGTAACATGATCGGCATAACGAACAAAATATTTTCTTTTCAAACATCTCGCCACATTTCGCCCTTGGTCCGTCAGACTAAATGAAGAAGATGACCAAAACAAATCACTGAACAACACAATATTTTTTTTGCGCGACCACCCGGTACATAGATCATCGACGGTACAGCACTATAATGGTAGCTAATGGCACGGACACATGGTATCAGTGACGGCGTGGAGGGAGTGCATGATGATGAGGAAGTAGACGACCAGCGCGACGAACCCGGCGATGAGGGCTCCCATGACCTGGTTGCAGTAGCCGTGCACCTGCTCGCAGATCGGCAGCCACCCGGCGTGCTCGTTGCCGTTCCTCCCGACCTCCGCGATCGCGCCCGTGGCCGCCACGGCGCCGGTGAGCACCATCCCCATTGCCACGTCGGCCATGACGACCAATCTCGAGGCGGCGCCCCCGGGCGGCACGAGGATGACGAGCAGGCTGTAGACGCATGCCACGGCGTATGCCACCACGAAGAAGCTGCATATATGCCAAATCAAACAATGAAAATGCGCAACGACCTCCACATATAAGTTTTTTTTGAGAAACATTACTTACATAAATGACGGAATGTGAGAGAACTTGGCCTCGATTTCCAGGCCGAACAAGCTGGTGGTCTCGCGGCTGGTCACCATGATTATCGCCGCGGCGGCCGCGGTGACGGCCGCGACGAGCCTGAGCACGACGGAGACGAGCCGGTGCAGCTTGGCCATGGCGGTGCGTTGATACTACGGGGTGTTGTGTATATGGTCGCTACCTTGCCTAGCCAGTGTCAGTGCTGATCAAGGGGAGAACAAGATCCTTTACACTTGGGGGACGGTGCCGATTAAATAGATACACGTAGTCCGGTTTCGTGGGGTAGTTTTGGTTGTTCAGCTACGTTGGAACTTGGAAGAGTAGGAATAACTACATGTGCATAGGTGGGCAGATTTGTTGGTAAGCAACTTCAGCGTAACTTGTCTCGCCATGTGGAAGATCCTGTATCTCTATGATCATTATTCGGTAGTCAGATCCATTCCCAGCGCCAAGATTTTCTTCTCATGAAACGAATTCAAGTGTGGTGACAACAGCAGAAATGTCGCACAATTTTCTCACGTTGCCCTACTATCATGGTACCGAGATGTTGACATCCCAACAAGAGGAAGGCTTGCGAATCAACCTGTGGTTGAGTTGGTTAGGTGGACAGTGGTATCCCCAACCCACCAGGGTTCAAATCCTGGTGCTCGCATTATTTCTAAATTTATTTCAGGATTTTCGGCGATGCACTTTCAGTGGGAGGAGACGTTCCCGTCGACGACGAGGCGCCTACGGTGACTTCGTAAATCTCAAGATGATATGCCGGCTCAGTCTCTCGAAGGTGCTCATAGGGGTAGGGTGTGCGTGTGTGCGTTCATAGGGGTGAGTGTATGCGCGTGTATATGAGCGCTTGTGTCTGTACTGATGCTCAAAAAAAAACAAGAGGAAGGCTTGCTTTTGGCCAACAAACGCAGTTAGGTGTCGCTTTTACCTTTCAGATTTGTATTCGGTTGTTGCTTATTATTATTATTACTATTACTATTATTATTATTATTATTATTATTTAGTTTTATTTAAATTATGAATGGTGTCTGTTTTGTGAATCCTACGCTGAAGGTTAGCTGGCAGACTTAGGGCAACTCCAATACGGTTCACCAATACGAACATCACCAAATGCTTGCGGACATGTTTAGACGTGTCCGCGGTCAGGAATAGTGGCGAAGGCCATTTAACGGGAGTCACCAAATGCCCGCCACTTTCCTTAAAAAAAATAAAACAAACCAAATGACTGCCTCTGGTCACTTTAACAGATGCGTCACTTTGACAAATATATCCAAATCAACAGCAACTCAACCATCCATTTAAATTCAAAAGCACTCCCTGAAAGATGTTCAAGAAGTTTTCAAATTTCATCGATGCCCAAAGCAGGCTTCGTCTCAAGCTTCCTCTTCTCGAGCTTGAACTTCTTCATAGGTAATTGATCTAGTTTGCCATGGGCATTGAGCTTCACCCAATAATGCATCATTGTAGCTTCCACTTCGTCCTATGTGTCGCTGTATGCGCGTGTATATGAGCGCTTGTGTCTGTACTGATGCTCAAAAAAAAACAAGAGGAAGGCTTGCTCTTGGCCAAGAAACGCAGTTAGGTGTCGCTTTTACCTTTCAGATTTGTATTCGGTTGTTGCTTATTATTATTATTATTATTATTATTATTATTATTATTATTATTATTATTATTATTATTATTATTATTATTATTATTTAGTTTTATTTAAATTATGAATGGTGTCTGTTTTGTGAATCCTACGCTGAAGGTTAGCTGGCAGACTTAGGGCAACTCCAATACGGTTCACCAATACGAACATCACCAAATGCTTGCGGACATGTTTAGACGTGTCCGCGGTCAGGAATAGTGGCGAAGGCCATTTAACGGGAGTCACCAAATGCCCGCCACTTTCCTTAAAAAAAATAAAACAAACCAAATGACTGCCTCTGGTCACTTTAACAGATGCGTCACTTTGACAAATATATCCAAATCAACAGCAACTCAACCATCCATTTAAATTCAAAAGCACTCCCTGAAAGATGTTCAAGAAGTTTTCAAATTTCATCGATGCCCAAAGCAGGCTTCGTCTCAAGCTTCCTCTTCTCGAGCTTGAACTTCTTCATAGGTAATTGATCTAGTTTGCCATGGGCATTGAGCTTCACCCAATAATGCATCATTGTAGCTTCCACTTCGTCTTATGTGTCGGTGTCAAAACCGGCGGATCTCGGGTAGGGGGTCCCGAACTGTGCATCTAGGTCGGATGGTAACAGGAGACAGGAGACACTTTGTTTTACCCAGGTTCGGGCCCTCTCGATGGAGGTAAAACCATACTCCTGCTTGATTAATATTGAAGATATGGGTAGTACAAGAGTAGATCTACCACGAGATCAAGGAGGCTAAACCCTAGAAGCTAGCCTATGGTATGATTGTGTATGGAGTTGATCCTCTACGGGCTACAACCCTCCGGTTTATATAGACACCGGATAGGGTTATGGTTACATAGAGTCGGTTACAATGGTAGGAGATCTTGAATATCGCATCGCCAAACTTGCCTTCCACGCCAAGGAAAGTCCCATCCGGACACGGGACGAAGTCTTCAATCTTATATCTTCATAGTCCGGGAGTCCGGCTGAAGGTATAGTCCGGCTATCCGAACACCCCCTAATCCATGACTCCCTCAGTAGCCCCTGAACCAGGCTTCAATAACGACGAGTCCAGCGCGCAAATTGTCTTCGGCATTGCAAGGCGGGTTCCTCCTCCAAGTCCTTCATAGAAGATTGTAATCACCAAGAGTAGTGTCCGGCTCTGTAAAATAAGTTTCCACATATTGCTATAGAGAGAATAATATTAACACAAATCAAATCTGCTGACGTATTCTGCAGTGCGCCATCACACTACAGCCAAGTCCTTTACTCGAATCGTTTTTATTTTTCCACCTCAGCATGTTTTGCGAGGTGGTTTCCTTGGCACGTCTTGTCAAAGCAGAGATCGTGTACCCTTTTTACGGGATTCTCATTAATACGGATGTGGGTAACCCAACCGCGCCATTTATCACGGCGCTCGGGAGGCAAGCGGGTTTTACTAGGCAAGTGGGGACGCATAACCGCATCCGCCTATATAAGGGGATAAGGATCCACCCTATTTACCTACACCTTCTTCCTCCCTTGCCTACCCATCTCTCGCGCACCCGAGCTCCAGCGCCCAAGCCCGCACTTCCCACCTCAACCTTCTCCAGCAATGTCCGGAGCAGGAGGCAAATGGATGGTCTCCACCGTTACGGAGGACAAAATCAAGAAGCTAAGGAAGGCCGGGTATCTGTCCAAGGACATCGCGCACCGGCTTCCCGAGAAGGGACATCTTATCCCCACCCCAAGGCCCCATGAGAGGGTGGTATTTCTCCTCCACTTCCTCCGCGGACTGGGTTTTCCACTCCACCCATTTGTCCCGGGGCTCATGTTCTACTACGGCCTGGATTTCCATGATCTGGCTCCGAACTTCATCCTCAACATCTCGGCGTTTATCGTCGTGTGCGAGGCCTTTCTCCGCGTCCGCCCCCATTTCGGCCTCTGGCTCAAGACATTCAACGTCAAGCCCAAGGTGGTGAGCGGCAGCCAGGCGGAGTGCGGAGGTGCCATGGCGGGCAAGATGGCCAACACCCTATGGTTCGAGGGCTCTTTCGTGGAGACCCTAAAGGGATGGCAATCCGGGTGGTTTTACATCACCGAGCCACGCGATCCGGAATGGACCGCGGTCCCTGAGTTCCGATCCGGACCCCCCACGCGGCTTGTGTCCTGGAAAGAGATGGGCCTGTCGTGGGGCGACGAGAAAGAGGTGACCGGATTGCAAACATGCATCCGGTCCCTGGTGAACAAGCCAATCCGGCTTGTCAACATAATCCAGGTTATGCTCGTCCGCCGGATCCTCCCATGCCAACACCGGGATTTCAATCTATGGGAGTTCGACTCGGCGCAGCATCAAACCCTCAGCAGGCTCTTCGACACAACGTACGAAGATGCCTGGAAGATGCTATTCAAGGGCGCCGAGGCTCCCGCATCCGCTTCCGAGGACCGCGGATACAGCTCACAGCGTCACACTAGCAAGGTATGCTATCTACACCTGTTACAGGATGTTCAAGCTTTTTTCATAGTTTGACTCTATGCGTGATCTAAACTCCCTTGCCTTTGACAGGCTTGGCGGGCGATGGCCGAACTGATTAACTGTCCGACTCCGCTGCCCGAAGACCCAGCCCCAGCTCTACTGGTGAAGCTGCTCCGGCGCCTTATGTGGTGCCGGAGAAGAAGGCTAAGAAGAAGAAGACCACGGGGACTCGAAAGAGTACCCGTAATGTGGTGTTGTCGGACTCGTCATTCGGCGAGTCCGAGACGCCCTCCTCCCATGAAAACAAGGAGGAGGAAGAAGAAACCACTCCCCCTCCAGCGGGGGGAGGAAAGAAGAGGGAGGCCGCCCCAACTGGGGAGGCCGAGGGGTCCAGGAAGAGGAAGACCCCTCCGCCGGACTATTCCCCCGACGCCGAAGAAGACGAAGAGGAGTGGCCGGACAGGGCCAAGCGTCCGGCGAAATCGTAAGTTCGGATATCAGAGTAACTCGTGATGTTCCTTTGTTGCACAGCTTTACCTAATGTCGATGATACTTATGCAGCCCGCCCCGGGCCGAACTCAACGAGTCATCGAGCGGCTCCCTGGATTCATCGGACGTGAACTCCGTTCCGCCCGCTGTCTCCCCCCTCACCGCGGACGACGCCGAAGTGGCGTCGCGACAAGCTCCGGGGCAGGAGGAGGTGGTCTTGGAGGAGCCGCAAGGCAACCTCCCAGACTCCAGGAGTAAAGGGGACAAGACCCTCCAGGGCTCCAAGTCCGGCCTTAAGCCGGACACCGTGCCGGAATCTTCAACGATTCCGGACCGCGGTAGGCGAGCTCCTTCCAAGAGGAGCAAGTCTTCTGAGCCGGCAACCTCCGTCCAACCAGAGGTGCCGGACAATCTGCTGGAGGTGCTTGAAGGCGCCTCCATCGACGAGGAGCACCGTACTATTATGAGTACGGTGATCCAGAAGGTCCAGTCCGCCAAGAGCGGGCTGAGTGAAGCTTGCGCTAGCCTCCTAACAGGCTTCGAGGTAAGTAAAAATATCTAAAAA